ACGCTGAAAGACTCTGAGAGACGGGAGAGAGACTGAANGTCAATAGAGTGAACATAAGTCATAATCATATATAAGAATGATTACATGCCGTATGCTGTTGCATGAACGTATTCTAACATTTCTACTTTAAAATACAACTTGAATAACCCTGGTAAAAAATCGTATATATAAGACTGCGATTATTGCAAATCTCGTAAGAATTATTACGGTCGAGAAACGCACCGTAGCGCGTCTCGACTGTTATTAATTATTTAACCCATTAACGCACCCCGCATTTTTGTGCTTGCACACAATTCAATTACGACGGACATCTTGCCTCCGGGTTAACACTGCACCACATCATCGTACCGTGGTGATGGTAATTTCCTTTTAGTTTTTGCTCGTTTTACGAGAATAGTCGGTCGTTTTCTCTAATTAACGCCGATGGTGGCCAGCGCGCGGATTCTCTTAATTTCGATCTCAAATCGGCCACTCTTCGATACGTTCCTTCAAGCAAAGTTTCTCATACATTGCATGATGTAACGCTACACCAACATCAATACCATTCAAAACAGTATTTTTTATTTCAGGTCTGAATATCATCCATTTCTTTCTAAGTACAATACTTTCTGACGTTTAGTTATTAGTTACCTTCATCACCCCAAGGAGAGTCTTTCTATTATTATCGCATTTTAATAAAATTGCGCGTGAATTAATTAGCATAAGCATAGAAAGTTAATCATGACTTACACTTATGCTTTAGTTACTAGGGTCTAAAACTGCAATTTAATCATTACACGATGATCATTGACATAACCACTGTTCTTTATTTTAAGCGCCAAGTTCAATATCTACCGTTGCTAACTTCAGTTAGTATTGATCAGATTGCTTCGTATATACTAGATATGCTGATGACGCACATCACGCAATATTAAAATAAAATAAATAGTACAAAATATACTTCAAAGTTTATTTTTAATTATATAAAACCCACCGACATTTCGCCTGTTGTTACAAAACTTTATCAAGCTAGATGTTTTAGTTATACGTATATCATGTAGTTCATTGTTGTACATATTTTGATACTCGTATCAAACTATAGTGCGTCCTAAGAATTAGTATTATTAAATCATTTAATAATTTTCGCGTAGGCTAATAACTAAATAAATACAGACGGTGTAGTGAACGCCATCTGTAGAGATTCTTTTCAGGATTCGTTATTGCTCAACAAGGTTCTATTCTAAGTAAGGATATCAACTTATCAGGTTGTATTTGACTTTATTTAAATCACTTTTTTTTCCTGGAAACAGTTGAATGCTAAGTACAATAATGTCCTTACGATATGTATCAAAATTCCTGGAAGAATGAATAGTTCCAGCTCAATAAAATGTAAATAATTAAGGAATTTCAAAAAACTATTTGTTTCTATATCAGTACAAGGTACCTCAGATATCAGAAACAGAATTATTGTAAATACCCTAGACAAAAATTTTCAGTCTCTCAGAATCTGTCAGCGTCTCTGAGAGCGTCTCTCAGTCTTTCAAAGTCTCTCAATTATTGCCTAGGTGTTTTTATGGATCTCTCACAGTCTCTGTATGAGAGACTCGAACGATAAAATTGTTATTTCAGAGATTCGAGTGTCTCACAGAGACTGAATGAATAAAACTGAAAAGTTGAGAAACTCGAGTCTCTCGTAGACAGACTGGGATCTCTGAAATATGTTGAACTTAAAAAATTTTAACCATGTCTATCGAGACAACACTTATTGAGAGATTCGTGTTTCTCGTTCAGAGACTGGATATGAAATGAGGATCTCTCTATGAGCGACTCCAGTCTCTCGTTCAGAGGTGCTAAACAGTTTTTTTGACAGTCTCTCGACAGTCTCTCTTAGCGACACCAGAGAGACTCGATTGGAAACGGAGACTCGAATCTCGCTTTCAGAGACTCTGAGAGACTGAATATTTTTATCTCGGGTACTTATAACGCTACTTGAAAAAACTAATCACGAATATCAATTCTCCATAGGATAATGGACTAGAATGGTAGAGTAGGTACAACTTGTCTTATTTTATCTATGAAGCACATAACGAGATTATGTTCAAGTATCGCAGTATCGAATTATAAAATGTAATAATAAAGTTTCACACTGTGTTGCAAATTCAATTTTATTTTCATACATGTAAAATATAATCCCCGTCCAATTATAGCTCACGTGCATTTTATTTCAGTAACAGGCTATGACATGAGAAATGCAAATCAACTACTTATGTATTTGCAAATAAGCGGCGGATCAACTACACTCGATGTGCATAAGGATATTGTGTAAAGGACAAGACCACCGCACCGCAGCTACCACACCAACAACTTGGTTGGCCATGCATCGACTGAGAGACAGTTCGCTGCATTCAATCGACTGAAGACGGGCACGCGGATCGCCGATGGACCGTATGCAGCTTGTCGTGTCATAAAGGCTACATTTCTACGTGATCGCATTCTTTTTCCTATGTTTATACGTGAAAAACATCTATCACTTAACATTAACCGCTTCTAAAAGATGTCCTTTGCATATGTTACCGGAAATGTATGAAATCTAGGAATTGTATACAATTGTATACAATTCCTAGGAAATATATAAAATAGTGTTCCAAAAATTTTTTAATGCACCCTGAGATAAAAATATTCAGTCTCTCAGAGTCTCTGAAAGCGAGACTCGAGTCTCATTCTCTCATCGAGTCTCTCTGGTGTCGCTGAGAGAGACTGACGAGAGACTGTCAAAAAAAACTGTTTAACGTCTGTGAACGAGAGACTCGAGTCGCTCATAGAGAGAGATCCTCATTTCGTATCCAAACTCTGTACGAGAGACTCGAATCTCTCAATAAGTGGTGTCTCGATAGACATGGTTAAAAGTTCAACATATTTTAGAGATCCCAGTCTTTCTACGAGAGACTCTGTGAGAGATTCGAATCTCTGAATTAACAATTTTATCGTTAGAGTCTCTCATACAGAGACTGTGAGAGATCCATAAAAACATCTAGTCAATAACTGAGAGACTGTGAAAGACTGTGAGAGGCGCTCTCAGAGACGCTGAAAGACTCTGAGAGACGGGAGAGAGACTGAAAATTTTTGTCTAGGGCTTTTAGAGTATTATTCACATTAGTTTTATACATTTCCTGGTACAATATCTGAATTTCATACAATTCCTGTATAGATACACTTCCCAGGATCATTATCATCATAAGGTCGTCAGTCCTAAGACTGGTTCGACACGCACCTCCACTCTTTCCTATCCTTAGCTAATCTTCGCATTTCCCTAAAACTAGAACAACCCATATCCTTAACTATTTGCGAACAGTAATCTAATCTAGGTCTACCTCAACCCCTCATACCTTCCGTTTCTGCCTCTGATATGTTTCTGACTAGACTTTAATGCCTGAAATTCCCCGAATATAAGTGTATTCGAAAATCTTTGAAAGTAAATAGATAACAATCTTTTTGATAAGGTACTACGAATCAGGGTTGTTATGGAATTTTGTAACTATAATCGAAACCATCGGATATCCGAAATAAAAATCTATCCGAAACTGTAACTCAATCTGCCATAAAAGTTTTGAATAATTTAGAATAAGGTGTCTAAATGAGATATGTTACAACAGATTTTCGACCAACCGTAAATAATATTTAAAAATAAGTAGCTCAATGTAATAATATTTTTCTACAATTTTAGTACCTATTTATAACCTAAAAATAAAGTCGAACCATTAGATAGATACCTATTTACATTTTCCTTTTATAGTTCCTTAAAAATCGAATATCTGTAACTAAAAGTATCCCGAACTATCGAATACTCCGAACAAATTTCATGTCCATAACCGTATCTAAAACGTTGTATAATATTATCTATATAGATATCCGTATCCATATCCAGATCTGAAGTTTTATATCCATAACATCCCTGCTTCGAACACCTTTATGTTCATGTCCGCCCAACATGTGTTTCGTCACATTTTTTGTGGTTATTATCAAAGCGAGCTTTGTTCCCAGGCGGCGCATAAAAGCTTTTATTTTTGGGAAATCAAAATTGTTCAAGCTTAACATAAGTGGATGGGATCGATATTGAACGACCAATTAGCTAAATATGAATTAAGGGAATCCTTAAGGATAAATTTTAGAATAGACTTTTTGGATGTTGCACACCATCACAATATTTTTAGAAAAATAAACCAATTTCACGCTACATGCTAGATAGACACTCAACGAATTAAGTTGCATAATCAACAATTTTATTATATTATTTAGTCTTCATGATGCAATTGTTGTGAAAGGGAATTATTAAATTAATTAAAACAATTGTCGAGTTTCGCCAATAAATTTGTAAAAGGCTTACTAAATGTTTCATTAATTTATTTTTTGTGTTGTTTTTATCCATCAACTTCTGTTTTTATTTCAGCTGTTTAAGCAAAAAAAACCTTGCAATTAATTATTTGAGATTATTTTAAATTAAAAATTTTGGTTCGGTGCGTATTAGCTGTACAATTACTAATTTATTTTCTTCGACATTGAAGAAGGATGGTGTAAGTGTCCGATACGTTATTATAAATATGTATGAATGCATCTTCTTTTTGGGTAGTTAATAAGTAGGGCTATGACTATACAGAATATCCACTTATTAAAAATTCCAAAAGTAATACGCATAATCAAAATAAACCAAATATATTAGGGACATCCTTTAAAAATATTCCTGTAGGGTAAGAAGTCAGTAAAGGCCACCCCACAACCAGGAAAAGTGTGATATTACAACAGCTTTCCATCCTTTTTCTTTACGCTAGTCGTCTGATACGAGCTTTTCTCTCTGCTTCTACACCACATTACACATATTTTACATGAAGGATTCTTTGTTAAAATAGCAATAATATCGTAATAACTGTACATAACAATAAGCACATCCTAATCAGTGCCCAACATCACCTAATAAATAAAACTAAAGCCTATGACTAAGTATATAACTATTTATTTATCTGTACCTTGTATTCGCCTTGAATGGAATGCAACATGAGAGAGCATCAGAGTGAGCCGGCTCAGGAAGAAAACAGCAGATGTATAATTAAGTAGCAGTTCCTTTTTGTAATATGACATATATTTTACGTTAATTCAAGCAAACACCTCGCCACGATACGTACACGTTATGTTAAATTTAAGGATACGACACTAAACACAAAATACATTATTAAAAACGGAAGAAAAACAACGACCCGTTCCATGACCGTAGACATTTCGACAAGCCGGAAAATGCTAGGTTAGCAGATGCCTACTATTGCCGACAACTAGCACAGACGCACTAGATCATGGATCGTTATTATCGACTGCTTTGTTTACAATACCAACATAATTCAAACTTTCGTTCGAAAATTAAAATACAACTGAAGAATTAAACATCGAAAAAATGAATTAATTTAAATATTCGACGTTAAACGCTGAATGTACCTTGTTAATAGTACTTGCATGATTAAAAGGAGAAATAGAATATGGAAAGAGCAAATCAACCAATAGATTTACCTAAATGAAATTTATGAGAAAAATATTAAAACATCATGTGTTAAATATTTTGGGACTATTTTACTAATTCTGAGTAGATATCGATTATTATACACTAATTATATACTAATTTTTGAACAAAAATGTTAGTTAACCTAACCTAAAATAATTTTGGGATTTTCCGGATGATATGATAACTCATTATCATTAAAGACGTTAGTCTGGCGGAGCGTAAACCTCATTTTCTGAACTTAATTCCCTCTGTCTAAATGTATATCACAATCCATACGACCTCTTATTAAAATTAAATTTGGTATATGGATTTAGATTAATGATTCAAAAATGTAAATAATGTAACTTTTTGAAAAGTAATCCTTTGAACCCCTTCTACAGTTCAAGAAACGGAGACACAGTAATCACAATTTCTTCTTTTTTCATTTAAGTGAAGTGTTTTTAGATGGGTTCCTTAAAATACAGGATTAAGGTATTTTACAATTTTTGGTTTTAGTTCTCAGTATTTTCAAGATATTAACATCGTTATCAAAACTTCATTTCTCCTAAATGTCTAAAAACTTTCCTGGAAGTAGGTTTGTACTTTCAGTTTACATTTTTAGTAGGTAGGTATCTTAATTTTTGTTATAACTTACTTAAAGCTATTAAATACTTAAAAATTATATTATAACCGGCTGATGTATGATGCAGATGAAAACTGATTTACGTCACGCATTTCTTCTTGCAGATAGTCGTTGTTTATCCCACACCTGTAATATTTTAAAGACAGGATGATGATAAATGCTTTGTCTCATTGAGAAATTAGTCAAGTATGGTTCATACAGAACATCAAAGTTTTAAGAAGTGTATGTAAAGAATTCGCTACATTCAGAATAACTTTTCGTTTATTTTACCATTGCCTAAAATATGTGAGGTATAGCAGAGAGCATACAACTGAGAAAAAAAGGGTAAAAATTGAACTGATGCGACGTCTGCGATGCATTATGCAAAGTTCTGGTGACAGTTGTGGTTTGTTAGGATAATGTGAATCCGTCGAATCGCGCCTGGACTTTGGGTTATACATCAATGTCAGTTTCCAATTTAAGGTTCTGCTTCATTTTTCAGCATTGACAGCAAAAGATGCATAGGCCATTGAAATGCACTGACAAGCTCTACCACCAACGCGTTTTGCGCATTCACAATTCGCGGAAATTAACAAATTGAGGGGTAAAACTCTGACCGCAGATTTATTTATAGCTAACATACACAAATACCGAACGAATTAACAAATAGTTTATGATACAATTGTAATATTTATCTAGTTAACATCCTTGCCCTAGACAAAAATTTTCAGTCTCTCTCCAGTCTCTTAGAGTTTATCAGAGTGTTTCAGCGTCTCTGAGAGCGTCTCTCACAGTCTTTCAGTTATTGCCTAGGTGTTTTTATGGATCTCTCAAAGTCTCTGTACGAGAGACTGGAACGATAAAATTGTTAATTCTGAGATTCGAGTCTCTCACAGAGATACTGAATGAATAAAACTGAAAAATTGAGAGACTCGAGTCTCTCGTAGAAAGACTGGGATCTCTGAAATATGTTGAAGTTAGAAAATTTTAACCATGTCTATCGAGACACCACTTATTGGGAGATTCCAGTCTCTCGTTCAGAGATTCGAGTCTCTCTTTCAGAGACACCGAGATACTGAACATTTTTATCTCGGGTACTTATCAAGCGCACTTTGTGTGCACTAAGTAAATAAATTGTCTATTTCCTAACTTTGAGAGATCACTCAAAAAGTGTAAATGTTAAAAGTATTTTTAAATTATCTTAAGAGTGATGATAGAAATGGACTTTAAAACACCTTACACTTTAGAGATCTCCTATATATATTATTATGTGCAACTGTGAGTTCTGTATGCATACTTATTAGATATTAGTTTGTAAGTAAGGGTAATCACAAAAGGGATTGAAGTGATAATATGTTTTTTAAAGTGACCGGTCGTGACTGGCCCTGTGTACAAAAAGGGGTAGTGGACACCGTGGTGTATTGACCACTCAAGTACTGAAACCGTCGTATTGTTCGAAGTGCATGTGTCCACCAAGGGACCAAGGCAATTCAGTGGATGGATCTGAATCGTTTTATCAGAATTTCAATTTATGATTCACCTAAATCAATAAATTAAATTAAAGAATGTTGGGCTAATTGTACCCGAATTTGGACATAATTGTTACATGAATGCTGTTCATATAATATAATATAATATGGTATAAAACAAAGTCGCTTCCAGCTGTCTGTCCCTATGTATGCTTAGATCTTTAAAACTACGCAACGGATTTTAATACGGCTTTTTTTAATAAATAGAGTGATTCAAGAGGAAGGTTCATATGTATAATACATGCATAATGTAGTAGGGAAACACTGATAATTTTAGAGGTTTNTAACTACCCCAGTAGCACACGACATTGGCCCAATATTTATTCTATATTGGTACAATATTGTATATGGGCCCAATATTGGCAATTTATAGCCAATATTGGTAATATATAGGACATATACTGTTTTCCTATATTTTAATACAATGTTTATCCGATATTTATCCAATATTAATAAAAGATATTTGACAATAACTTTTATTTATATTGATTTGTAATATTTATCCAATATTGGCAATATATACAAGGGATGTACCTTTTCCTTTATTTATATAGAATATTTATCCAATACTGATCCAACATTGATAAAACATCTTTGACAAAATTGAGTCCATATAAAGGCACTTTGCCCGGCGCTTGGGTACCAAAATTCTTGGAAGATTGATGATTAGGTTAACTTTTAGTTCGTCTAGAAATTACAACCTAACCTAAACTGTTAGCCAATATTGGTAAAATATAGGACATGTACCTTCTTCCTATATTTTAATACAATGTTTATCCGATATTGATCCAATATTAATAGAAGATATTTGGCAATAAAAGTCATCTCATCCAGGCACCCATACCTCTGTCCCTCTGAATACATTCCTGCTTCCCACATCAGTTTAATAACAGTTTCTCCAGTAAGTTCTGTATGACCGACTGAAGTTTGAAACCCAGAATATAGTAGGCAGTTGAATGATAAAACGGTGATATGTGAAGGCGCAGCATTGTTTTTCGAATGACAACAAACATCTTTTGAAGAAAACGATATCGCGACCACCTACGCGCAAGCGCAAAGTCGTGTTCTAGAAATTCGCGGTGGCTGTGTGACGTAAATAAACACATTTTTTGCGCTTACATTACAAACGCTGGCTAAACCCTACGAGATAGATCAAAATAGTGTACCACAGTATTGTACATCTTAAAAATTCTACAAAAAAGTCCGGGATGGTATATGTTTATCTCTTAGAGATAACCCACAATAATCATTTTTTATCCTTTACTTTTATGAGAAATAATGGCTTATTTACGAAGTGATTTTAAGCAATACAATCCTTATCCAATTAAGTACTTTTAAATACATTGTGCATTTAATATAGATCAATATGGCTCTGTACAGCATGTAATTTAAATGAATATTTTCGAAGATATTACAGATTTAAAATGCAGGGACATGCGGTTGCGGTGGTACCGACCGGGAGGTCGGTTTGTATTATCTTAAGACAAAAAAGCTGTATATAAAGACATATAGTAAAATATTAAGTATCAGCATTGCACCCTTGTGAAGCTGGGGCGGGTCGCTAGTTTCATATAAAGAATAAATGTTGCATTAGTGTATTTATAGTTCATATTTCATTCATGAAAAGATTTATTCGAACCATACGTTTATTTATTCTGGTAGAAACCCGAACATTTCCCCGGTGACCACTACGACTACTATCAATAACTTTTGCGTCTACAATGAGCTTTATAGTCGATGAGATATAATCTTACAAAGATTCAGCTACCCAAATTACAAAAATTAAATGTTTGAGTCATGCATCTAAACCTTATAGCTACTTATGAGGTTCTGTTACTCGCTGGACCCGATTTCGTAATGGAACATTAATAAAAATCAATTAAAATTCATGCAGGATTTAAATATTAATCAATATCCTTTTGCATATTAAACGGCGAAAGAGTTCCTTTTTGAGGTCGTCGAACACACCATGTAACATTGTTTTTAATGAGCGTACTGTTACCGAAACGGAGAACCGTGTTATTTTTGCGATTTGACATTTGCGTGCTGTGCAAGAGCACCTTAAAGCGCAGCTGAACGTTGTCGTACGCCGCGAGCCTCCTTACAACTTCATACAAAGCAACCACGAACGTAAAATATATGCATCTCATAAACGTGCCGTTGTTAATGCAGCGCAAAGAATACTTCGGTAATGAGCGCAATGTATCATGAAAGAGCAAAGAGAAGGCAGCTTTTGAATGAGCGTCACACAGCCACCGCGAATTTCTAGAACACGACTTTGCGCTTGCGCGTAGGTGGTCGCGATATCGTTTTCTTCAAAAGATGTTTGTTGTCATTCGAAAAACAATGCTGCGCCTTCACATATCACCGTTTTATCATTCAACTGCCTACTATATTCTGGGTTTCAAACTTCAGTCGGTCATACAGAACTTACTGGAGAAACTGTTATTAAACTGATGTGGGAAGCAGGAATGTATTCAGAGGGACAGAGGTATGGGTGCCTGGATGAGATGACTTTTATTGCCAAATATCTTCTATTAATATTGGATCAATATCGGATAAACATTGTATTAAAATATAGG